AAATATGTATAAAACTAATACTCTTTTACAAAGTGGACATTTAGAACTCCAAGGTATATGTTACACCGCGTTTACACTATCGTCGATTGTTTCGACGAATGTTTCGTCGAAACAATCGACGATAGTGTAAAGTAATAGATAGTAATAGATAGATAGATAGATAGATAGATAGTAATAGATAGTGCAAAGTGTTTCGTCGAAACAATCGTGTCGAGAGGTTGAAACGCGTTCACACATTCGTGCGATAGGCGAATGCGATGCACGACACGCATGTGTAAACGGTCACTTCGCTATTCGCGTCGTGCATCGCATCGCCACTTGTGCGATCGCGTCGTGGGCGGTATTTCGAGCACGAGTCAAAGGACACGAGTTTTTTTTAAAGGTGTGCTTTTTTTGAGAGAAAAGTATACAAACTGCAATCAATGGTAAATATAAACTCTTGGTATTTCATGGTATGTATCCATATTATTTTCGTAAATATTTATACAATGCATTTTCATTAAAATGTATACAACAAAAGGTTATTGTAAATTCTCGGACAACACTCAAACGGGGTAATTACACGGCCTTGTATATTAAACTGGACCGCTCACTAAGTTAACAAAACGAGCCGAGTGTGAGGCTTCAAAGTAGTACATAATGTGTCTCTTTCATTCATGTTTCAGCCAGCCACATTGTTTTTAACTTTTTAATTTTTACAGAAAATGTGGCCGCTTATGGATGACCAAAACTACTAATATTATTTCATAATTCGAATTAGTATATTTATTAGATATGCTACTTCATAATAGAAGGTGTCATTGTTGATATATTTTTTTTGTATTAATGCAATAAAAGAATATTACCTTTAAGCTAATTTTATTTAACCAAAATTAAAAAAGTTAATACACTAGTCACTACGTAAGATGATTTTATTTAGCCTTGGCAACTTGTTAGACAAGGATAGACCATTACTTCGACCTATCTCACGTAGCTCGGTTTTTACTTTTATTTAAAATAAACCTTAACATAACCCAATAAAGTTATCCATATATCTATCCTATATAATATTATATAATATCCACATTATATCGATCTAGTTTATGAAATATATAAATCCATGGTAATTATATTTGGTGTCAATTACAATCGTAAAATCTAATAACTAAAATTTAATAAATTCAGTAGTTTTAAAAGTATATCTAGGATTATTATATATGCTACATATATTCGAAAATTAACGAACGTTTACATTTCATGCACGCGACACCTACGTATATATGTACAATGGTATAAAAATACTTACATTATCTTCAGTGTCTATTGTGCGTTCGCAACCATACACTGAGCCCAAAAAATTTTCCGTGGCAGTATATATACGAACCATATAGGTTCATATACATCTTCCACCCCCATACCCGAAATTATAGATAATTTTTTTCTTACGAAGATACGCACGAAAATTTGCCATTAACTTCTTCGCTTTCAACTCATTGACTGGTAATTTTGTAATATTAATACGGTTCCGTGCATCGTTAACTTTGTGTTTAATTTTGTGGTTTGGATGTTTTGGGTTTCAAATGAGTTCTTCGGTTTCATACATATGGTTCTAGAAAATACAAGACCCGCGCATTACTCCAATCCATTTTGTACCTACGTATTATCGCTTTGGGAGCTAGCAGTTTATTTATATATAAAGTACTCTGTGGTTCATCTGAAGCGGGACGAATAAGGAAATGGCAGGCTTTTGAAGTTACAACTAGTCTTTACAAAGATTATTAATTTTATTTTAAGTATATTATGAAGAAAAAAACGAAAAAAGAAATAGCGATGAAGAAAGTTAGAACTACATTCCTTAACTGAAATCAAGTCACAAAAGACTATCCTGAAAATGCCACTAATTACGAATTCAAAGTTTTTGTTCCAAGTGATAGAAGATAATGTGATCTATGTGAAACTGAAAACATAAATATTGACTACCGCCGCTTAAAAGACTATGTAAAAAAACCGAATAAGTGAACTAAGTTATTTAAATGAAATTGAAAACAATCTATTAGAACTACAATGGAATATTACTGGGTATCCGATAATTAAACGAAGACATGACTCAAAGGACTTGTATCTAGTCAAAACCATTAATAAAAAAGGGACTTTTTTTTATTGGTTCTCACGGCACTGGGTACTTTGCACTTTTAAGCCAATCGTCAAAATAATCACTTTCGTAACGAAAATATAACACTTAGAAAGTAAAACAAAAACACTTTAAATTTCGTTCACAGTGTTAAATATAAAATTACATATTGGTTTAAATAAGTTTTTTCTTGAGAGTAACGATTGAACGTGTTTTTGGAATATCACTGTCATCTACACAAAGGTCCTTTATTTCTGCCACAAGTATTAGACGATGAAAACGGTATTGAACACAGGTGAAAATGATATGTTGTAAGTCGATTGTTTTTCCGGTGCAATGAGGACATTTATCATTTTGAAGGATTCCCAGTCTCTTTAGGTGAGCAGGAATTCTGCAGTGGCCAAATCGCATTCTATTGATGGCAGTTATCTGCTTCCGTGACTCTAGATTCGTTTTATTCCACCAAGGCTGGGCGGGCGGGCTCATTTGTATGCTGGTGTACCACTTTGCTTTTATTGCAGTCGCTTTTCTCCAATATTCTGTCCATAAGGACTTCAGTGACAACATGAACTGGGCGTGGAAGTCAGTGTAAGGTACTTTCGAACAAGAGGAATGGTCTTCATCTGCTGTTCTTCGTGCAGCTCCATCAGCTTCTTCATTCCCAGAATACCAGAAAGTGAAGGTACCCACCCACCTTATATGTTATATTTTTACCTCTACTATACATGTCATGTAGCAATTGTTTTATTTTATATACTACATATATAACACAAATTATATTTATATTGTTTGTTCTTGAGTGCAGCCAATACACTTTGAGAATCAGTAAAGATAACTATATTAACAACTTCGAGAATATTTACATAAAGTAATGCTTAGAAAATAGCATAACACTCCGCTGTGAAGATACTACAATAGTTGTTAATCTTGAAGCATTTAGATAATTTAATCTGTGGGTCATAAAATGCCGAAATTGCAGTATCTTTATTAGTCTTTGAACCATCTATATACATAGTGTATAGAGACTTGTTTTCAAGAAATTGTAGTAGCTCACGTTGGTTGTCAACTTTTTGAATAAGTAGTGTTGCCACATTGCCCAAGGAGGAAGTAGTTAAACTTTAAGTAAAAAAGTTGGTAAATTCCAAGAAATTAATTCTGTGTAAAATTGCTTAAAGTGGCTGAACAAAAACATAATTATGGGATTGCGTTTTTAAATACATATTTTTCTTAATTTTACAAATTATGAATCGAAAAAAATAATTATCATCAATATCCATCAAATCATTGTCATCTTGTGATGTTGAAGGTTAAGCTTTATTTTCGTTTTTTTTTTCCAATTTTTTACTTTTCTTACTAAAAGAGCTAAAAGATTTAACTATCAAATTTTTTTTTTGTACCTAATAATTTCGTAAATCTGAATAAATCTATATAGTTAAAAACTGGCTACAGTGGCAACACTGCGAATAACTGTTTATAATGAATTGGCTCAGTTCATAAGGAACAACGTTATTAAAATCTAGATTATTATTTATCCACTTAACATTATTTTCAACTATTACTATCTCATTTCCATTTCATAATTTCCACCCTTCATTGTTTAGATTTACCTATAATATACTACCTACCCTACCTTGTTAATCACCTTTTTTTTTTTTTTAACGGGGGAGAAATCTTTATGGATACCCCTGAGCCCAGGGAGACTCAGGAGTTATGTGGGGACTCTCCCTCCAAACTAGAGGGACTACCCCACTAAAACCCCCCCGGGTTTCCCTCTCGCCGGTTGAGTCGGCGCCGTGGGATCAGTCCCTACCAAAATTCCGTTTGCTTTTATTTTTATTCCGCGATTTCCTTTCCCCGTTTTTAAATTCCTATTAATATCCAAAACCCCACATCAAAGTTCCACAACAACAACAACTGCGACGACAATGATATCCTGAAGTCTCAAGAAGGAAGAAAGTATTTGAAGAATTATCAAAAGTTGGCAACTCAATCGAAATTGCATATAGCCAAAGGCTGGACGCCATAGCGCCAAGAAATAAGAAAAAAAAAGTAACTTCGCATCGCCATCGCCACTCGTATCTAACTTCGCGACGCTACTCGTGCCTAACTTCGTGATAGCGAAGTGACCGTTTGCACACGCGTATCGTGCATCGAATCGCCTATCGCACGAATGTGAGAACGCGGCAACATTTCGCGACGCTACTTGTGCCTAACTTCGCGATAGCGAAGTGACCGTTTACCGTGACCGTATCGAGCATCGCATCGCCTATCGCACGAATGTGAGAACGCGGCATAAAAAAAGCAAATACCATAGAGAAAAATGGGATTTCAATACATTAGAAATTCAAACCAGTATCCCTAAAATTTGTGTCGAAAAAGTAACTAGTAATACAGAATTTTTGCATTTTGTAAATAGTGAGAAACCTTAAGAAAGACCTTCGTAAAATATACACAGATGGTTCAAAGTCAGAAGAAAGTACTAAGCCTGCCTATTACGATTCTGAAGCAAAGTTTGGAAGATGTTTTATGTTGTATAAGCACATCCAGCCACCTCTACTAGAAAACGTTAAATGTTATGAAGCTATTTAGAGTTTCCATTTTTTGAAGTCATTATGAAGATTGAAATTATTTACAAAGTGAAACCAAAATGAACAAAAGAAAATGAAGAATAGGCTGATTGGCATTATGCCAAAGCCGTTAAAAACTGTACTTAAAAAAAAAAGAAAAAAAAAAGAATGGATATGGAATAGCACGGGTGGAAATGTGTCGTTTTGTTTGGGTTTATGTAGATTGTTCCAACAAAACTGATATTATTTGTAGATTGCGTAAAATTACACAAATCTTTATCTAGTTAAAGTACAAAACCAACCAAGTGCAGTTTACGTCAACAACAAACGTCGCTTTGTACTGCCGGTAGCTCCAAGGTGAAGTGAAGAAAACGATGAGTTCACGACATCGTGACAGAAGTAGGTCTCGATCGCGAGACCGCGACCGGCATAAGGACCGTGACCGCGACAAGACTCGCGATCGAGACCGCGATCGCGAGCGGGAGCGCGATCGCGACCGTGGCCGCGATCGCGATAGAGATCGGGATCGGGACCGAGACAGACACCGCTCCTCGAAAAGGTTTGTGCTCGTAGTACAGTCTATATATGCCTTTTCGAAAGACGTACATGTTTAGTGATACCTAGTGGTGTTTTATAATGCAGGGATAAAGAACGCGACCGTAGCCGCAGCCGCTCACGGCATAAGGAGAAGCGGCGCTCACGATCGCGCAGCCGCAGCCGCGGCAGGAAGTCCAAGGACAGGTAAACTTATTTCTTCTTTGTTATTATTCTTTAGTGTTGCCTAATTTCTAAGTCTTTATTTGTTTACATAATTTATATGCAAAAGCTCTTTCATGGAGGTGTATGACACCAAAAGTTTTCCATGGGTTACGCACCACTGAAATAAGTCGCGTTTTGACATGCTCCTCTTTTTTAATGCTAAACAGTAGATTTTGTATGTTTTTAAGAATAATTTATCCAACCTGAACCGCTACTGCCTGTATGCAGTTGGCTCGTCTTCAAATAACCTCCAATGTGTCCCTTGTAATAACTTTTGTGTTATTACATGAATGCTAAACATTATTTATTTAATATGATTGCTTGCTTACTTAGTCTGTGTTACACATAAAAAGACTACTTTACTACGTCACAGCAATAAATAAAAATTTAAAAAGTGGGCAACTTCTCATTCATGGGAGCCGGTTCCACATCGCCCTAATTTTAAGAAAAGCAGAAAAAAATGAACACTTGGAAATCGCAATATTTCCCATAGAGGATAAACTCTAATAACTTACATGTCGAATACATACTGTAACTTTCCAATTTATTATAAACAAACATGTTTTCTTGGGAATACAATGTGTTTCAATTTTTTTAGTGTCATTTCAACTAAAAACCTCCAAAATAACTAAAATTCATACTACATCACCTTCACCCTTCGCACACGTGAGAAGGGGCTCCTGTCGGATTGGAGTGTAATGTGTGGTGTGTGTTGGTTTTCGCAAAAAATCAACTTAAATACCAATTTCAGCGCTAGTGACTAAATCGTTCTCATTCATGTAAAGCTATCTATCTAAATAAGTATTAAGTAATAGTTTTATAAACTTTATTCTACAAAAATGAAATATTATATAAAAAAATGTATCAATTAGACAAAGGGAACTTATTTTAAAGTTCCCATGCATTTTCATAACGGTACAGCATATTTTACACTTGACAATTAGAAATGTCTCCAAATATCATTATTGTCTACTATTAAGTCAAATAGTTACTTTAAGCGAAACATTTACTTATATTTATTTATAGTGGTGGTGATGACGGCGGTGACGATGATGATGGTGATGATGATTGTTTAATAAAGTTTATATGATATTAACAAAATACTTATTTAGATTTATTTATTAATTACATATAGATAGATAGATGGTCTTACACGGATGAGCAGGATTTTGATGCAAGAAATTATATTAAAATATTTGTTACATGCATTGACCTAGCAACAAATGGACGTCGGGTCTAATACAAAAGCAACGAAAAAAATGTCCGAAGTTAACCTATACAAATGTAACTATACATGTAAATATACATGTAACGAAATATAAAACACTAAAACATTTAATTTCAATTGTGACGTAATTGCAGTACTGCCTAATTTTGCTTCTAACAACTTCAGCCAACACCATACAAACAAAAAACACCATATTCAGCTTCTACTGGAAATTTAACAAAGTGCACCATATTTAGCTTCGACTGAAAATTACTTGAACACAAGAGTAATGGAGTAGCCGTCATCGTAAATATTAATTAATTTTTATACATTATTATGTCGAATTTTGTACAAATTCACTTAAAGAAATAATAAAGCAGATACATATATTACTATATACAAATATTACTACAAATGTGAAATTCAGCTTGTATGTTACTATAAGAAATGTACCGGTATTCCAACTAAACGTAAACCTAAATATCCGTAATTCCGAAAACCGATTTATAATAAAACCGTAAAGCGTAACTTTCGAGTAATTTTGATGCTATAAAACTGTGCAAAATAACACTTTTATATGAGAACTAACACAACAATATTATATTTGTTTAGTGAAAATAGATACAAAATCCTGTTTTTACACTTTACTGCAGTAATTTTTACAAATTATTATTATATGGTACTGCATGATTGACAACCGCGCTGTCAGTCGAACAAACGATGACTTGCGCGATTGACGCTCTGTATGCGATTTTAACGCCCTATAGGTGCGGACACTTTTTAGCGCGAAACCGACGTCCTTTATTGGTAGGTCAATGGTTACATGTTAAATGTTGTTAAATGTTCTTTTGTGAATGATAAAATGTGTGTTGTAATAATATTCATTACTGCGTCGTCTTTCTCATTTATGTTTATGAGAAAATCATTCGTGTTACTGCAATCTCATTCGTGTGACCTAAAATATCGTTTTTTGTTGTATTTAACTTAAATATTTCTGTGATTTTATAATTATTGACATTGCTTGGACTTATTTGTACGTTTAAGACCTTAAAACCAAAAGAAAAAAGGGTTTTACAAAAATCACTCAAAAAGTGCCATCAATGGCAATTTTTGAGTTATTTTTGACAAATTTTTGATTTGACAATTAGGACAGTGAAATTCACCCAGTTACTAGATCCTCCTTGGAAATACGTTTCATATACGTGGATACAACAAATCCATAATTTCCGTCATTTCCTCTAGTCTCATTGAATAATGAAACTAGACGAAATTAGAATAGAAATATATCAGAAATACCAGGTTTTGTTCTGAAGCTCCTCAATTAGTTATACCGCGAATAGTCAATAGTAGACATGGCAATAACGGGCATTTGTCAATAATGAATTATACTGCTATGCTATTTTTCAATAACTGCTAACATAAACTGTTGTCAGATAACCTGTTAGTCTGCTGTTTTGTAGTTTTGCATACAACATGACAATGACAGTGAATTAATATTGTGTAGTGTATGTAGCCAGGTTACATTTCTTACATTTTTCTTAACTTTTGTGCTTCTTATCCTAATATGTCGCACATTGAAACCAATACTGTCACTATGCACAAAATCAACTTTCGGTAAATGGCGGTTTCTGAAAATAAGTCAGGATAATATTTTTTTATTGAAAGAAGTTATACGTGACCTAATGTTTTTATATTATGTCTTGGAGTAGCCTTTCTATTAATTACCTTTTGTCAAATTATATTGAGTTTCTATTAATATTTTGATAGTTTTAAAAAGAAATTCTGTTTAGTGTCACTATTCCATTTAAAATATTTCGTTAACTGTTTGCAGTAAGTGGATGAACTGGCACTATCTTAGTACATTTTTGGAAAATAAAATAATGAATTAATGAATTATCAAAGTAATTTACTGGTTTTTACAGTAATGGTTTATTCTTATTAACTAGGTAAATAAATGGCACAAAAATTGCAGATTACAGGAACACAATTGTTTGAGACTAAACTAACAATCTAAACAAAAATCAATCTAAAATAACTAAACAAAAACGTACAATCACTGCAGTGTAGTGTATCGTATAAGTGTTGTATAAAAAAGCTATTTTATTTCTTCGAATTTTCTCACAATTTTGTATAACTTTTTATTAAAAACTTATCATGATGTATCAGTTGAGATCAATGTATTTACCAAAATCTTATATATTAAAAAAATCTTCAAAAAATACAAAATCAACAATATTAGTAGTAATGTTTGCGACTAATTTAAACTAGCTAATAAAATAAACATAAAATAGCATTAACATAACTGAACAAAACTGCAAAAACTTTTATTCAACATCAAGTAAAAATCTTATGTAAAAGTAAAAAATAGTAATTTTGATACGCATATGCATATTTCGTTGGCTCCCCTTTGTCCTTCGACTTCGTTCCAAAAGTAAAACTCTGAATAAGGCCTCAGAATAGTAGCTTGTTCTTGTGTTGGAAAAACACCTTGACTGTCTAAACACAGTCGCAACTACTTGAACCGTACACCGATAAAGAGTTTATGCGACAGGGATGGCACCATCGCCCTGCTGGACCAGATGGTAGGCACGACTACGAAGGCCACGGCGCGCGCGGTGGCGGCACCCTCCGTCAACCCCGCTGCGCAAGCCGCCATTCTCGCCGCTGCAGCCGTCGCTCAGGTACGCTACGCTCTTCCCGCCGTTCGCGTACTTTGTCGCGTTCATTGCGCTGTACACTTAAACAAATAAAACAAATTGTGGTGCAACTGTTTTGTCGTTCGCTACAAAGCAAATAGGTGTTTCGGTTGAAGTAAAATTTAGTAATATTGAAGCACCAAAGAGATGAAAGGCGGGGCTAGCGGAATAACACTCCGCCCGCCGTAGGAACGTGGCGCGTCGACCTAACGTTGTTTTGAGACGGCGATTTATCAACCGTCTACGACAACCGTTGGGGCCATTTCGCCCAATGCCAATGAAAAGAGGTAAAATCGCGATTGAAGTTAACTCGGGAGCGGTCGCTCGGTCCCTTTTGCCATAACACTCGGCACGAAAGAGCAGCTTGTCGAACCGACGTCCGCGAACCAGCCGCTCACTCAGTCGGCCCGCGCGCCGCCGCAGACGTTCGTGGCGCAGCGGCGCATGGCGGCGCCGGTGCAGCCCGCGGCGGCGGCGGCCGCGGCGCTGTCGGCGGCCACGGCCATCCCGCCGCCCACGGCCGTGCAGCAGCGCCTGGAGCAGCTGCAGGCGCGCTCCGACAAGCGCCACCGCGGCGAGCGCGGCGAGCGCGGCGAGCGCCACCACTCGCCGCCGCCCGAGCCGGAGCCCGACGACGACCAGGACGACGGCCAGGGCCCGCCGGGCGAGACGGCGGCCGAGCGGCGCGCGCGGCGCCGGCGCACGCGCTGGCAGGGCTCGGAGCACGACAAGACCTTCATCCCCGGCCTGCCCACGGTGCTGCCGTCGTCGCTGACGCGCGAGCAGGAGGAGCAGTACCTGCGTGAGTGTCCGCCCTCGCGGCAGCCCTCGGCCGCCCCGGCGGAACGCGGGGCCGGGCCGGGGACGGCGAGCGGCAAATTCTAATGGCGCGTCGCCGCGCGGTGGCTAACCCCTTCCCTTGCAGTGCAGCTGCAGATCGAGGAGGTGAGCCGCAAGCTGCGCTCCGGCGACCTCGGCATCCCCGCCAACATCGAGGAGAGGTACGCCCGCCCTCCGCGCCTCGTCCGCGCGCAAAGAGGTTTTACACACACTTTTTGAGCCGACGCTCGCGGGACCCGCGTTTCTCTTGCCCAGTACGAGTCCCTCGCGTTTCCGAGCCGATTGCGCGCTTTCGTTTATTTCTCGGTATTAGATTCGACCGCGAGTCGGCGACGGAACCGACGAGCCCTAAAATTCGTTGATCCGCAGTCGCTCGTCGCAAATGACGAGAGCGAAGCCGAGCAGGCTCGGCCGAGCCTCACTAATGAACCGTTTTCTTCCCTTCGCAGGTCTCGATCGACTGCGTTAATTGATCATAAATTAATCTTTCAAATTAATTTCACTAATGACGATCTTTTCAGCAACGGCAGACCATTAATAATCATTTTTTTAATAATTCGATTATTTTCAGGATTAATCTTGTTAAAATTTCAGGTTTAACTATCCTTTCCTTCTCAAAGCGCCGCACAGTGGTAAAAAATCACTATTTAGGAAGATGGAAATCAAAACCACAGATTTTTGTTTTATGTCTAGAAATTTATTTAATAAATGCGGATACAGTGAAAATATATGGATTTCGAGTTTTTATAAACATAATTTACGAAAACTTAATTTTTTTTTTGTAAATATATACAAATTGATTACTGAGTGCCAACTTCACGTTAGCGTTCAATTTGAAGAAAGTCAATATCTAAAACTTCAGGTCGAATACTTGAAATTTGTGGACCTGATGCCACCAGTAATACATCTTTGCTCATAAATGAATTATTAGAAAACGGCGACGAAATTTGTTTATTATTAATGTCGCTTTTCGTCTTTCTAAGGAAGCTTCATTTCAGCAGTTAAACATAATTCTTGTTCACTTTTTAATTGAATTTCATCAGCTAATCGTCTTCGCTCAGTTTTCTCGCAAACTTCCAAAAAAGGTTTTTGAAGGACGCACGCGTTCTTCCGATAAAATTTCAAATACTGAAAATGATCCTAGGCGACTGTATGTGTGTGAAAACTGTATCCGTGTACTCCCTACCCGTTCAGGGCTTTAGTGGTGTGAGATGGGTGTGGCGATACAGGTTAACAGATTGGGATGAAATGCGCCATTTCTTTGCGTCATATCCTTGACAGATTTGCTTTGCTTCAGGAGACTCGTCGAGCTGTGCTGATGCTGTAGTCGAGGTTTTGCGTCTGGGTATGGCGTATTACATACCAATACTCTGATGTACCCAATGGACCCCAAGCTCGTCCGTGGCTTAACGCTTACTGTAGTGGTGCTGAAGCACAAAAACATTCCGCATACCAAGCATGCTCGACTGCGCAGAGCTCCGAGTACTCGCAATCTGATGAAGGCATTTAGTATAGCCGCCAAGAAGTGCAAAAGCGTGTTACGTGGGGCAAAGTTCGACCATGTGCACCAAGCTTGCCTCTTATCCAGCAGGTAGCAAATTCTTTTGGTCCCTAGCCAAAGCGGTCCAAATTAACTTTTGTCACCCATCTTTGCGACCTCTGCTGAGGCCGGACGGCGCGCTGGCCCATACCGCAAAAGAAGTGTCTTTGCCTCACTCTTTGCAGAGTTCGCGTCTGGATGCCGCAGGGAACCTACCATCTAGCTTACCTCAGGCTGGCTGTACTATAGCGCCTGTTCGCATAAGCTAAAAAGAAGCACTTACAACTCTGCGGAATTTAGACGTGAATAAAGCTAGCGGGCCAGATGGAATTCCAGCGGTAGTCCTACGTAACTGTGCGCCTGAGTTGTCTCCTGTTCTCACACGCCTACGCCTGTACCGCCTCTCACTTGAGACTGGTATAGTTTCGAGGTCGTGGACGCTTGCAAACGTGTAACCCGTGTCAAAAAAAGGAAGCAGAGCCGACCCTGTCATGTATAGACCCATCTCGGTCACTTCCATACTCCGCAAGACTATGGAACGTGTACTCAACAACCGTCTCCTGCAACAACGACCTCCTCAGTCATCGCCCGTACGAACGTTCCTGAGCGTACGTTGCATTCGAGTGGTCTTGGAAGGCTACTCTTCCGAACGTCTGTCGGGCGATAGATGAGAATTCCTCAAGGTTCCATGCGGTCTGCAACTCTCTTTCTGCTGCATATCAGTGATATGTTAATTTCAGGTACCTTTGCATATTGCGTATTATATTGATGACAACTCAGTTGTAGATAGGTTTTTGACCAATGCAAGGGTCAATGCAGAGGAAATCCAGTCTTGTCGAGAGTCCATCATTAGCCATTTGGAATTGACACTCAAGGTAGTCTCCGATTGGGGCGATGCCAATCTTGTCAAATTTAACGCTACTAAAACGCAGGCGTGTCTATTCTCAAAACGGAGTCCCATTGAGCTGACTCACGACTATTCTTGATATACATACGTATAGCCGACTGTCTCCAGCTACTTGGAATGGACCTGTCGTCCAATTTGAACTTCGGCAGATACATTGAATCGATGGCCAAAAATGCAGCAAGGAAGCATGGCATCCTTTCCAGGGTGAGGCGTTACTTTACACCGGGACAGTTGGTTCAGTTATCACTAGTATCAGGTTTCTTACCACGGTGTGTGTAAATATCGGGAAAATAAAAAGAAGTCATACCGCGGTAAGAAACCTGATACTAGTGATAATCATTTAGTGAATAACCACGAAAGTCTTAAAATGTATATAGTTGGTTCAGTTGTATTAAGCTCAAGTCCGGTCGTGTATGTACTGCTGCCACCTTGGTGGCTCTGCTACATACCAACTAGCCATCTTGGATTCAGTTGACAAGCAAGCCAAGAGCCTTATAGGTGACTCGCAATTAGTAGAGGCGAAGCTACAGAGCATTGAACACTGCCGAAAAGTTGCCTGCTTATGCGATGGAATTACACGATTTAATTCCGCCGTCCCCTTTCCATCATCGGGGAACTAGACGTAAGCTTGGGTTTTACCCCTATGTGCGAATCTTTGGACTAGATTCGCACAAAGCGTTACACTTCCATATTTATATGGCGGATGGCTATGGGGTGGAATTCCCTGCCGGCAGACTTATTTCCTGAACGTTATAACTTGGACCTTTTCAAGGCGAGAGTGAATAGGCATTATTTAGGTGTGCATGCTCCGTCGTCGACCTCGTCACTTTCCATCAGGTGATATGGAGGTCAAATGCGCATTTACAATTCGTTTTCCTAGAAACCTTTTCAAACCAAAAACTACATTTATTGATAGGTGTGTCGAAGCATCATCCTGATTTTAACCAATTTTTTGAAGCGGAAATGCAAAACGTGCTAATAACATTATTTAGTGCTGTTTTATCTTGACCTGCACAGTCAGATAATCCAACGACCTCTAAAATATGCCAATATAGTAAGTGTTTTATTTTCTTTAAATAGGGTTTGAATGGCATCAGTGGTTTTATGAAAAGAAATCAATTTAGATTTTCGACTGAAGAGCCGTTTCTTAGAAAAAATTAAATTAAAAAGTTTCCGCAAGTTTCCGCACTTGCACAAGTTATATGAGCAGTTTACTTGCAAGCAGCGCTATGTGACATTTTAAGTTATTTTTAGTTAATGGCGTGAAATGGATCAGTATTTTAAATACTTCAACAATACAGTGCCAAAACTTGGTATATTCTGAACAAATGAGTGTCAAACGTTGACTATATTTGCTTAGTTTGACACTTTCAAAAGTTGCCTATTTGTCGACAACCTGCAAACGATGCTCTATTAAGTATAAACTCGTGCAAAATCCGTTATTTTGTTTGGTATTTATTATTTTGTCATTCGAGAGGTCTCTCGTGAAACTTGATCGTCAAACATTTCGGAGAAGATTGGTTTATGTATACAAAATTCTTGAATTGTATACTCATTATTGGGCAAGTACAATTAAATGTGACGGAAGAATAAGAAATGACAGATAATGACGATAGATTGATGGTTGACGACGTGAATATAAGAGTATAAAGGAAAATTAAAATTAGATTCAAGTTGTATTTTTTACTATTATTATAACAAAACTAGCCATGTTATCGTAGTGTTGTTGCAAAACTAGCTACGTTAATTCTGAACAATTACAAAACTAGTTATTTTAAGATTACTATTGCAAAGCTGTTCAATTTTTAAATGGAAATAAAGTTAATTAATACCTACTGTGATTTTCTTTCTTCATATTGTTTATATCTTTTTTATCACAATTTTCAGATAATTAAAAAAGTACGGGGTCAAGAGCACGTCAAGCTTGACACTCAAAATTTAAATCCAACTCTATGCCGCTTACGATAAGACCGGACCAAAGTACAAAGTGTCAAGCTTGACGTGCTCTTGACTTAAAAATCCACTCCACTTAAAAATCCATTTTCGGAACAATAATTGTTTTTTTTTTAGTTTATAGCATTCTTTTTCCACGCACATAACGCAGTTTGCTAGTGGACTACTCGTATATTTGTTGCAAAACATTCCAGGCTCTAGACTGACAGTAAAAACTGTATGTTTCAAAATGTATTCCAAAACGTAGGAGAAGTTGAATCTCAAATTAAGAGTGACTTACCTATCTTTATTTAAGATTAACACTTCAGTAACTAAAAACATCATATACTTACGTAATTTATTGCCTATTGCCACGAAAATTGCGCTTGCCCAAACTCTTCTTCCAATTCTCGATTATGCTGATATCTGCTATCTGGATTTAACCGGAGAACAGCTCAACAAGCTCGAATGTCTACAAAACTTTTGCATCCTTTTCATTTATGGTTTGAGGAAATTTGATCATGTTTCCATTTACCGCAAGGAGCTGAAGTGGTTACCCATTAGACTTCGCCGGAATGCTCATATTCTTAATCTTCTTTATGGCATCTTATTCATTCCTCACACACCACCTTTTTTATTTGTTGGGTGTGATACGAGTGTTACTGTTGAGTAACATCTTGTATGTGTAATTAAAGCTAGCTGGCTATACATGGTAAGGGAAAGCTGTAACCCATCACAAAAAACCATACGATCCTACCTAACAGCCTAGCCCTAACCATACACTACTATATATACGTATATAGATAGGTAGAGGAAGCCTGTTACCATGCGACCTGGGGTAACAGACGGAAGGTGGGAAGGATAAGAGGTGCAAGGAGTGGATTTTCTCACTGCCAGCCCCACAGACTCACAAGACTGATCAGATAAGCTGACGACTAAAGGTGTCTTGGCCGCAGTGAGAGGATGCTGTAGTCAGGAAAGTTCCGTTGTCGTCAATGAGACAGCGTTGATGTCTGGATTCAAAGAGATTTGTATTTCTAAAAACTAGACTTTATACAAATTCTATTTACATGTAGCCTGTATATCTAAAATACAATTTTTAAATGTTAAACAAAGGAAACGTCTACTCAGCAGGCTGGTCTAGCCCGTTGCTATTCGGTCAGTGCACTGCTGAGTAGCCTATTATCGTCACGTGGTAATTTATGTCTGGTCAGGTTGTCTGTTCATGTCACGTGAACGTGAACAATTACTTTCATCCAAAGGTTGCCTGGCAGAAAACGCTTAAAGCTATAAGACCGCCCATTGTATTACCGCTTATTTTTAATTTAACTGTGTTTGATTTGTTTCCTTTTTTGGTGTACAATAAATAATTTTTGTATTGTATTGTATAATTATAGTAATATCTTCGGAAATATGCAGATTTTTTTTGTGTACCAGAATTGAATAGAATTTTGAAATGAACAATATTTATTTGCACTCCCGCGACTGACGTAAACAAACCGATTGCATAATTATGACATTGATAGATGACTTTGTCACCTAATAACCTAATAAGTATTTACTCTTAAAAAAAGATATTGCAGTACCGTAGGCAGTAAGTAGTCATACGTTTAACTGTTTTTTGTTTAAATACTGCCATATGTACGTAAAATATTTTCGTCCCCTTAAATCGTGATTTTTTGTCACTGCGCGCCGTCATTAGCTTAGGAGTCCCACTGGCGGCGGATCGAGCCGACGGGAGGGCGAGGCGCCTCGGCCTCCCGTCGGGCCGGTTCGCCCTTGGCCTCGCGGGTTCTCACGGCGCTGCGTGTGCAGGTCGCCGTCGCCCGAGCCCATCTACTCCACCGACGGCAAGCGGCTGAACACGCGCGAGTACCGCACGAGGCGTAAGCTGGAGGAGGAGCGGCACCGCCTGGTGCAGCGCATGCAGCAGATCAACCCCGACTTCAAGCCCCCGCCCGACTACAAGTGCGTAAGCGCCCGCCACCCGCCCGCGCCCCGCCGCCCGCTCTGACCGCTCCGTCCGTCTGTCCGCAGGCCGCCCATCATCCGCGTGCACGACAAGGTGATGATCCCGCAGGAGGAGCACCCCGACATCAACTTCGTGGGGCTGCTGATCGGCCCGCGCGGGAACACACTCAAGGGTGAGTGGCCGCCGCCCGCCGGCTCCCGCGGAGGCCGCGGGGGCTCGGCGCTGACCGCGCCCGCGCCTCTGCCCGCAGCGATGGAGAAGGAGACCGGCGCCAAGATCATCATCCGCGGCAAGGGCTCCGTCAAAGAGGGCAAGGTGGGCCGCAAGGACGGCCAGCCGCTGCCCGGCGAGGACGAGCCGCTGCACGCGTACATCACGGCCACCAACGCCGACGCCGTGAAGAAGGCCGTGGAGAAGATCAAGGAAGTGATCCGGCAGGGCGTGGAGGTGCCCGAGGGGCAGAACGACCTGCGGCGCATGCAGCTGCGCGAGCTGGCGCAGCTGAACGGCACGCTGCGCGAGACGGACGGCGCGCGCTGCGCCAACTGCTCGGCCGCCGACCACAAGACGTGGCTGTGCCCCGACCGGCCCAACGTCACCTCGGCCGTGGTGTGCTCGGCCTGCGGCGGCGCCGGCCACATCGCGCGCGACTGCCGCAGCAAGCGGCCCGGCGCCGCGCCCGCCGCGCACAACGCCAACAAGGTCTCGCCCCTCCCCGCCCCTCCCCGCCCCTCCGAACCTTGACTCCTATAACTTCCGTGTTTTTGATGATATCTACCTGAGTTTTTTTCTGGCTATACCTAAATGGATATTCTCTTAAATAATATACACTTTATAAGTCAAATTTTATTTATTATGGTTATAAGAAATTAAGGAATAAAAAAGTATTAATTTCTTGGATGTAACCATTCATGTTCTTATTAATTTATAGATTAATAAGATGAAGTACCTACTTTAAATATCAAGAATACATAAAAACATAGCTTAGTAGTCACTCAGGAGCTCTTTTGCTCCATCAAGGAGTTCCAAATATTTATTGTTGTAAGGTTTTCTCAAGCTTGTAAGATCAGAGATCAGAGGTATACAAAAGTGTGTGTATAACGTCTTCGTTGGTGGCTGCCCTCGAACATTTTCTTGCATGATGAAGTCTGAACTGCTTGTAGTCTTTGTTTCGTGACTTGAGCATCTTCAGAGAGTTGTCCAAGAGGCAAGACAGGAAAATGACGTATGACACTCTCACCATGAATCAACACTTTGTGCACTGATGACGGCATGTAATACCATTTATATTTATTAACATGCAGCTGTGCTGTATCGAATGCATACTGTCCAAATTTCGTGGCATCAATACCTCTACCACTTGACATGACCTGAAGTATAACATAAAATCGTTTTATTAATTCCTCATTTATTCCAGTGATTTCTGATGAACAATGGTAGTTTTGGAAAAATCTTCTGGCTGTATTACCGTCATTAGTGTTGCCACTTACTTGCTTAGGTTTATCTATATTCAATCCAAGTTCTTCTCTGAACCTTCTTTGTACGTAAGCTTTCTTTTGCTTTTTTAAATCTTTATTCTCTGTTGTTGTGGCAGACCATTTTTCAAAACCTAGATTGTAAGATAATTGTAAAATAAGTTCCATAAATCTGATCCAACAATGCAAAGTTGAAAGCCCATATTGATAAGAAGCTTCATCCACAGGTTTGTTTCGCACTCTTTCTAAATTATTCATTTCTGTAGGTCTTGCACTGCAAATAGTGCACACAGCACTTGAGGAAGTTTCTGACAAAACTTGAGCCACTTTCCCATCAATCATAGTTAAAAACGTGTGTTTTATTTATCTTCTCCATTGTGATTAATTAGGGAAGGATTCAGGGCTAAAATTTGAGCATTGATTTCGCTGACTACCAGTGTTGTTTTCTCAGCTGTTTCTTTTGAAAATTCTATCAAAATTGGTCGGCAAAATCTCACTGACGAAGGAACAGGATTAGTCCACAATACTTCATTAGTATTGGTATCAATAAGTCGCAATGGCACTAAAGATGATATAAATAAATTAGAGTCTGAAATTAGATCACTCTCTTCAGACAGGGGTTGTTTGTATTCGCTTTGTCCACTTGATCCATCACAGCCCCATTTGGAATATAGCATTAAGTGGGTTGAACCCACTTTATAAACATCATTAATTTTTAGAAGTCTGGCTGAAGTGTGATCTAAAAGATCTTGTAGTTTTATTTGTGCTTTTATGTTAGTAATTTCAACGCTAGATTCTGGTGGAGAGCATATTCGCTTAGCTTTACGAATCGACTTGTAAGAAGGAAACAGTAAGCAATTTTTTGTAATTAAACAATTTCTCATATTGTCATACTGTGCCTTGTTCAGATTTAATTCTATAAAAATGCAGAGTGCTTCGTCTTTTGAATACGCTGTTATATGTGCTGGTTCATTAAGAAGACTATTGCGTATTTCACTTTTTTTTTCTGACGGCAATGTTCGTAAAACTTCAACAATTAAGGCTTCTTCTACTTCGCCACGAGACCTTAAGCCCTGTATGTACGAGTTCAATATGAAATCAAGTCCACACAAGCAATTCCTTGTTTTTATGTTTTTTTGTGCTCACTGAACTATCTTCGTACGTTTTAGAAGATCCTCTTTGTTCTTCTGATGTAGAAGGTTCAGCTTGGCATGTAGGTTCTTCTAGTTTCACCGTGAATATGCCATCCAACCAATTGCTGTTTTTACTTAAAAACAGATCTTTCTTTCGACTCGCTTTAGAAAAGCGTTGACGAAACTGGTTTATGAAGGATTTTTGAATATTTGCTATAATTTTTGCTATGTTTTCATCTGAAGATTCTGTGAAATTGCTTCGTATATAATGTGTAATAGAAACAACATAATTCGAATCACTTTCAATCAACACGAGACTTAAGTCGCGTCTGGTGCACGAGAATTCACTCATTGCGGAAAGTTACTGCGTAACAAACTTTTGCTAATAACAAAAACTAATGAAGAACTGTAATGTTTAATGAAAAAGTCACTGTTTTATACTAAATAATGACAGAAGACGAGTGCAAAATTACTTGATGAAAACTAATTTATCATAACGCGGTTATGCGGTTTTTAATGGTACTGTTTGTCAATTGGAATCAAATTCTGTGACAAATATGTGATAAAAATACCGCAAAATATAATCTAACAATAGTGTCATATGCGTTTTTTGACGGTACGGGCAGAAAATTCCGAAAAATAGAAACTCTTAATGTACGAAATTAAAATTAATAAAAAGTTTACTGCATATTTTACGAAATTAAAACATGTTCCGCACTGAAACCGCAAGAAATTTTTGTTTGCCATCTAAGTATATCATATTTCTTACAAAATAACACAAAAAATAGAACTTCGGCAACTGTCATATCTCAAAGTCAAAGATTAGAAAAAGAAAATATTACATATGATGTTTATATATTTTTGTTTAAATAATGTTGTGCTAAATTACACATTTTTTATATCTGAAAGTAAAGTACACATTCCAAGCTTTCTAAAATGGGGTAAAACTTATATGATTTCTATTGTTTTCATACTAGAAAATCATATCGAAGAAATAAAAGTTACAAAGTTGTTTTTGTATTTGTTTTATTCTTCATCTTCAAATGATTTCAACCGTGCCATACGAATGGTTAGAGATTTGAATCTTATTTATAATAATAGGGTAACTATTCAGCTACAATTTAAGGTATAATACATGCATCCCCGCATGCTTTTGTAAAAAGCATTTATGAGATGGCTCTCTTAAGAGGGTTCCCATAGTGCGTCGCCAGAAAGAGTGGTAGCAAACAGGCTCGTAACGCCCGTGACGTCGCCGCAGGCCAAGATCGACGAGGAGTACATGTCGCTGATGGCGGAGCTGGGCGAGGCGCCGCCGCAGGGCGCGCTGGGCGGCGGCGGGCGGCGGGGCGTGTTCGGCGCGCTGCCGCCGCGGGCGCTCATGGGCGC